TTTTTACGCAGATATTACGATATTATTTTTTCTTGTCGGCTTGGCATATTGCTTACACCCATGTAGTTAGTTACTGTTCCTATTACTGTAGTTGCGTGTGCCGGTTTCTTATTTGATGTATCATATTGTAATTATAATATTGTAAGCAATATGGTAGAAGTGCGGCTTGGAGCTAATGTTTCATTGAATAATGTATGTATTTATAGTGTTTTCATTTATATAGGACTTTGGAAAGGGATTTTTTATTATAGCTAAATATTTAGGTCTGAAACGTAAATACCCATATTGAATTTAAAAACAGAGAGAACATTAACTATTGTTTGTTGCTCATACTATAAGTGTTACCGTTAGTGTTACCGTTAGTGTTACCGTTAGTGTTACCGTTACTGTTACTGTTACTGTTACTGTTACTGTTACTGTTACTGTTACTGTTACTGTTACTGTTACTGTTACTGTTACTGTTACTGTTACTGTTACTGTTACTGTTACTGTTACTGTTACTGTTACTGTTACTGTTACTGTTACTGTTACTGTTACTGTTACTGTTACTGTTACTGTTACTGTTACTGTTACTGTTACTGTTACTGTTACTGTTACTGTTATGTTACTGTTACTGTTACTGTTACTGTTACTGTTACTGTTACTGTTACTGTTACTGTTACTGTTACTGTTACTGTTACTGTTACTGTTACTGTTACTGTTACTGTTACTGTTACTGTTACTGTTACTGTTACTGTTACTGTTACTGTTACTGTTACTGTTACTGTTACTGTTACTGTTACTGTTACTGTTACTGTTACTGTTACTGTTACTGTTACTGTTACTGTTATGTTACTGTTACTGTTACTGTTACTGTTACTGTTACTGTTACTGTTACTGTTACTGTTACTGTTACTGTTACTGTTACTGTTACTGTTACTGTTACTGTACTGTTACTGTTACTGTTACTGTTACTGTTACTGTTACTGTTACTGTTACTGTTACTGTTATGTTACTGTTACTGTACTGTTACTGTTACTGTTACTGTTACTGTTACTGTTACTGTTACTGTTACTGTTACTGTTACTGTTACTGTTACTGTTACTGTTACTGTTACTGTTACTGTTACTGTTACTGTTACTGTTACTGTTACTGTACTGTTACTGTTACTGTTACTGTTACTGTTACTGTTACTGTTACTGTTACTGTTACTGTTACTGTTACTGTTACTGTTACTGTTACTGTTACTGTTACTGTTACTGTTACTGTTACTGTTACTGTTACTGTTACTGTTACTGTTACTGTTACTGTTACTGTTACTGTTACTGTTACTGTTACTATTACTGTTACTGTTTGACACGTGGTCGATATGATACTATGCTTAATTGTTTTGGTACGCTATGGTTTTGGCTATGCTTGGATTTTAGCTCAAATTCAATACTGTTTTATATATGTTTTATAGGAGTAACCGGGGAAATCTGGTTGCTTCACTGAATGAAAATCAAAAAAATTACAAACAATTTAAATTTATCTGGATTACTTCTCCTTTTCTTGGTTTAGAGCGGTATTATTAGGTTTTAATAATATAAACAACATTTAAAGTGGAGAGCATTGTGCAAATATAATTATATGTATGTACATAATTACTTTGTATGTACTTGATGTAAACTGTTTTCAACTTCGGTATGACATTTCCTTAAATATTTTTTTTTCGTTTTTTTTTTTTTAAATAAAATTTCTAGTTTTTTGCGTTTTGTTTTATTTGTAGTATAAACATTGCTTTCATATTTAGATTGGGTTATTTGTTTATCTATTTTAGGTATTTACAATTATTTTTTTTTTAATATTTTTATTTAGTTGTGGCTGTTTATATTTGGGTGTGTGCGTATCGCATTTGCTAAGAAAAAATTTAATTTAAATCTTTAATCCTTATGTATGACACAATAATCATAATTCATTGAAAATGTCAGAATAATTAGTAGTATCTTTCGATAAGGCTATAATGGTTGAGCCGTCAGTCAACAATTTAGGTTCAAATTGCTGTGCAATCGAATTCGTAAACATGAAATAATGCATATGGGTGTTTTTTTTTTGTTTTTTTTTTTTCTGATGTGAATATTGCATATGCTTAGATCGCATTTTTTATTTATAAAGTCTAAAGAAACACTTTAATCAAATTTGGTATACAAAAAATGAATTATAATGGTAATATAAAAAATAGTGTAAATATCAGATGGGTATATATATAAATTAAAATGATTTTCAGACTTTTCGTTGTGCCAAAAAAAAAACTTCCTTCCATTTTCTAAGCGAGTACATTTATACGCGCATCTAGGCATATATGTATGGATGTATATATATGTATGTATGTACGTATGTATGCAAAAATGGTAAAATAAATAAAAAAAAAATAAATTTCACTGCATACTTCTGTGTGAGAGTGTATATGCATCAGTACTGCCAATTAGCTATTTTCAAGCTAAATTGGCCTATTTTTGGAGACTGTCCGCAGGAAACAGTTGAAATTTGTAATTGATTCGCTTGATTTGATATCTAAATGACAAGTGCCAACAGCAAGCTAATTCGGCTATATTAAAGTTTTTGATGGCAACATTGATGCACATATATGTATGTCGGTATGCAGTTAAGCAAAGTCTGATGTAACTGAGTAATACACGCACTACATCCATACACATATTTACGCTTGTATGTACTTATTTAAGCTTTTATTTTAATTATGTTAGTATTCGCGCTGGTCGTCAATAATTTCGAAATTGCACGCTTATCAATAATATACCGTTCAATTGCCATTTTGTTTTTGTATTACTTTTCTTCTTTAAGGATACTTCAAAAGTTCAGTCTTGAAAATCAATGTAATGCAAATGAAAATCTTAAATACTGCGCTTAGTCCAAATTTTGATTATACGTTACAAGTTCAAATTTTTCTCGTTTCACAAAATATATCCCAAATGGTAAAATTATTTATAAGTATATAATGATCGACTAATCAGTCCGGGACAAACAATTAAATTGCCTTGCAAGTACTAATTGTCACAAAAAAAAAAAAAATAAATAAAAAAAATATAGTATTGCCCGTCAGACAGTTAATTTTGGATAATTTGCAAAATTTGCAATTTTTTGTGCCTAAAAACTATCAGTCCTTCTCCTTCCGATTTTAATATAATTCCTAGTACACGTTAGGCAAAACTAAACCAAAAAGTTAGGTTAATCTAACCTAGGCTAAACTAACCCCATACAATATTGTAATTTTGTAAAATAACTGTAACTAATACGCATTTTGATGTTTTTCTACGAATTTTGAAATAGTTATTCAAATCTGTGTAAATCAATAAAAGTGGAAGGTAACGTACGAGAGCCTACAAATTTTGACTCATCATTGCTAATAGTTGTTTTTTAGTCGACTTTAACGAATCGTCGGAGTATGTACAAATACGAATGTACAATGTGTTTTCCCTCGACTTCTTAATTCAGATACATATTTATGTGAACTTATACATATACATATATGTGTGTGTATATTTATGGGTTGATAATAAATTGAATTGTTTTTAATTATTATTATTTTTTAAATAATTTTCAAATTAATTTGTGCTTCTTCAGCGATATTAAGTCATAGTTATATACATATATCCATATGTATTAACGTATGTATTGTATACATATGTGTATAGCTCTGACTTAAGCATAATATTATTGTACATATACATAAACTGTACCTTTTTTACAACTATAAAAAAAAAACACTCACACATAGTTTTACTTATGATTAGATTTTACACTGCCATGAGTGGTATTTTACATAGACCCTGCCTACTCATTATATGAATACTTATTGACTACATGTACATATGCGTAGTAATCAGAGTATGTTTGTTTAAAAATACACTAGTTAAGTTAAAAAAAAAAAAAACACGAGCATACGCATGGATAGTTGTACATTGAATGTTAGGTTATGTTGCATGAGTTGCGCTTGCCGGCCGGTCAACTTGCAGTATTGTCAAACAGAAAGTGTTAAAGTAGTGTTATAAATTGTTTCTTTGTTGTATGTACGATGAGTTAGTTTAATGTGCTAGAGCTAGGAATACAAGGACTACATCGTAGGGCACAATATACTCTACTCCAGTTTTATCATATGTCCAGATGGTTCCGTGCTGGATGTCGATGTTATATGGATATGTGTTCGTGTGTGCGCAAATGCAATTAGTGGTTGGTTAATTGGTAACAATTGGTTAATTCAGTAAGAGTGTTAACCTAATTTCAAAATAGATGCCTTGCATGAAGAACTCTATCAGACAAGTGCTTTATGAAGACCGATTTATCTACCTGTCTGTCTGTCTGTTTGTCGGCTTACAATGGGTAATACTCAAGAGGTAAATATTATTGTTATAGATGAGTGTGTGTGACAGTCTTTTATGCTTTGCTTTACGATGCTTCGCTCGGTTGGGTCAAATTTTTACGGACCTTTCCTCGATGCAGTTAAATCTAAACTCTACTGCATTTTGGCTATGCCGACGTCGTTAAAAAAAAAGAACACCTGCTCAATTATATGCGCGTTCATTCTCATAAAAGATTTGCAATTCGATCAATTTTTTTGTTTTTTTCTTTTTCACTTTTTTTGTTGTAAAAAATCACAGTTTTTCATTCATTTGCCTAAACATGTTATATCTTCATTTTAGTCAACTTTTTTCGCATTCAGTTGTTTGCCAAAACAGTCCATTCAGTTTTCGCCAGGTTGAGATCCAAAGTGCATACAGGTGTGCATGTATGTGTGTGTGTGTATGCGTGTGTTTATTTATATATTATATATTAAGTTATAGCTTAGCCCCGGGCTATGCCGTTAATCCTCCGTTTTGATCATTCCTTCGTTGCGTGTGCGTGTGTGTGTGTGTGTTTGGTTCGGATCGATCGCTGCATACCTTCCTGTGTGCGTGTGTGTCTCAGTGTTGCCAAATCAGCTATTTTCTAGCTATATTCAAAGGTCGTCAGCCGGAAATAAGTAGTTAGTTTTCAACTGATTTAGTTATTTTATTCACATCCCAATGGCAAGTTCTTTAGCTATTTTTAGCTATTTAAAATATTGGATTTAGCTCCTTTATTTTTAATGGCAGTTGGCAACACTGGTCGGACTTGTGTAGCATACATTTCAGCGATCCGCTTATTGGTCTAATAAATTCATTCGTTCATAGCGATGATGATGGGGGTGGGCGTGGCTGTGGCTGTGTGTATGTGTGTGTGTGTGTGGGTGTGTGTGGGTGTGCGGGTGGGTGTGTGGATGTGCGTGTCCGTGGGCATGCGCCGTTAAATGTGACAGATGCCCGCCGTGATGCTGCTGATGGAGATGGAGGGCTCGCAAATCTGCCACCCCTTCCGCCGCTGCCGCCGCATAAACGCCGCTGCCCTGATCAATTTGCGTGAGATCGACTGTTGGCGTGACTCCACCCACCTGCCCCCCGTAGTCACTGGGGCCACCTGCCGGTGACGCACTGCCGCCCGCCACCGTTGCCGCCGCCGCCGCTGCTGCTGAGTTGTTGAGTGCAACATGGAACAGCTGCTGCAAGAGTTGATGCTGATCTTATAAAAAGTCAATGCACGGCTTGACTATGTTCGGCGACGACTGCTGCTGCTGCTGTTGCTGCTGGTGATGGTGCTGCTGCTGCTGCTGCTGGTGCGCCGCTGCCAACTGCAGCGTGGAACTGGCCGTGCCGCTGGCCACGGCTGCGGCGCCCACAATTGGCGAGAGGAGCAGCTCAGCAGCGGCCGCAGCGGCAGCTGCTGCTGCGGCCACAGCATTCCCCCCAGCCCCGCCCCCTGCAACACTATTGTTAACCGCCGCCGCAGCGGTTAGCGAGCTGAGCGACTGATGCAGCCGGCTACCTGGGCTACCAGCCTGGCCCACCCCGGTGCCATGATGGAAATACGAATGATGATTCTTCTGGCGGCGATGGTAGATGCTCTTGTGGTTGTTCAGCGAGTTGAGGGTGCGGAAGACTTTGTGGCATAGATTGCACACGGCATTGTTGAGCGGCTGCAGATGCTGCTGCTCCTTGTGCCGTTTTAGCGTCAGCTTTGTGCTGAGCAACTTGCCACACACATCGCACCGATGGCAGGCATTCAGAGGCAGGGGCAACAGCAGCCGATTGGCCTGGGCCACATCATTGGCCCGCGCCGAGTTCAGCAGATTGCTGGCCGCGTTGCCCGCGGAACCGCGACCGCCGCCGCCGCCGCCGCTGCCGCTGCCCGAGGCGGAGGGCGAGAGCGAGGCGCGTCGATGGTGCTGGTGCAGCAAATGGTGGCGCTCTAGGGGCGAGCCGGCCCGTGCCATGGCATGCGCATGATGGGCGGCGGCTACCGCGTGCGCGGCAGCGCCCGGCGACAGCTCGTGATGCGAGTGCAGCTGATGCTGATGGTGGCTCGACAGCATTGTCAGCGGATGCTGGCCAAAATGCGGCGGCGGCGCGGACAGACCGTGATGCGGTGGTGGTGTTGTCCCAGGCGTGATATGTGCTCCTTCTAGCTCACGCTCCCGTTCCCGTTCCCGCTCCCGTTCGCGCTTATGGTATGCGGCGCTCGCGTTCGCTGTCGGCGACGGTGACGGCGTCACACTGACGGTGTGCAGTGGCATCCCGTCGCCGCCGGCGCACTGCGAGGAGCGCGACAGGCTGCGCTCGCTGTTGCTGTGCAGATCGTTGGCCTTGCCACGTTCCCGATCGCGCTCTCTTTCTCTTTCACGTTCTCGTTCACGTTCGCGTTCTCGTTCTTGGTGCAGTTGTTGTTGTTGTTGTTGTTGTTGTTGTTGTTGTTGTTGTGGGTTATGTAGTGTGGAATGATGTTGTTGTTGGAGTTGTTGGAGGTGGTGTTGTGATGTTGGCTGTTGTTCTACTTGTTGTTGTTGGTTGTTGCTACTACTATTACTAGGGTTGTCACTACCGCCGGGCACTATGACGCCGCCGAGTAGGCTGGTGCTGCCACCTATACGTCATATAGGAAGAGAAGAAAAAAAGAGACAATAGTGACTTTTCTGTATATTTGACTTGGTTTCTGTTGTTGTTGTTGCTGTTGTTGTGGTTGTTGCTGTTTTTGTGGTTGCTGCTGTTGTTGTTGTTGTTGTTGCTGTTTAGTTTGTTTTTGTTATTTGATTTGTATGCATTTCATGCTTGTCTGTTAGTTCGTGACTTTGCACACACACACACGCGCGCACACACACACACACATATGCATGAACGAAGCACGCTAGGTGTGTGTGTGTGTGTGTGTGTGTGTTTTTGTTGTTGTTGTTGTTGTTGTTATTTTTGTTGTTGTTGCGTGTTCGATGTCTGTGTGCGTCTGTTGCCTTGTGTTCTGTTGTTTTGCTTGTTTTATAACTGGTGGTCAGTGTTCTGTTTGTTGTGTTTTTGGTGTTCGTTTTCGTATTGTATTTTTTGTATTATTTACTTTACATTATTACACTAACAAATCCAGGCTCAAAACAATTGTAAACTTGCTGATTTTGCTAATATTGGAATTATATATGATGTGATTATATGTTTCATATTTTTTTTTCAATTTCGCTTGTCTCTGTTTCATTTGAATTTAATTTAAAAAAATCATCATAATCAATGTGGCTAAAATTTGATTATTTGGCAAATTTTGCAAAAATTTTTGTTGTTTTTTCTGTGTCGCCTTTCGCAAAAACATGTGTGTAAATAAAATATTAACAAAACTTTTCTGTTTCGGTTTTTTTTTTTTAACTTTTTTTTTAATTAAAAAAAAATTTTTGTTTTTTGTTTTTTTTTTTTTGGCTAGTTGTTGCATGTTAATTTGAAATTTGTGTTTGCGGCTCGTGGGAGCTGCACAAGTTTTGTCAAATTTGGACAAATTTTGTGCAGTTTTAAGTAAATTTTTCTTGCAATGCGAAATGTTGTTATTTGCTTCATCTTTATTTGGAATTTTCAACTTTATTTTTACCATTTTTTTCGCAGTTGTGGCTGCTCTAAGAGTTAAAACATGCCACAAGGCTGCAAGCAGATGAGTTAATCAGAACTCACCAAAAAATGTGTACAAAAGATATTTTGTATCTTCGCTTGTTCCTCGGCAAATCTTGAATATCTGTACCAATGGCTGTGTCTGTTTGTTAAATTTTTTTTTGAAACAAAACTTGAGTGTTTTGTGAAATGTATTATTTTTGGAAATTTCTTGTATAGTTTTAAAACCAATTTTTCGTTTTGTTTTAGCAAAATTTTGAAACATATTTGGCCTGATTGATTTGTAGTATATAAAATGTTTTTAGTAATATTTTCGTTTTTTATATTTTTTATTATAATTTTTTGTAATAGTTATTTCTGATTACTTGACAAGTTTTGACAAGTATCTCGACTATTTTCTGTTGTCACTAGTGTCTCTTTTTTTCCAACTCAAACGCAGCACCTTTGCCTTTGTGATGCGGTTGGTTAAATTTGGGTTTGCTTAAAAACGAACCAAATATACCATTTTTCAAATGTGCTCTTGGGGGGAGGGAGCGCAAGGCATTGTTGGGGGCGGTTATGGTAGGAGGAGGCTGTGGGTACTGGGCCAGGTTGGGCTTTATAGGTAAACAGTAGGTAAATACACACAATTAGATGTACGCATTAGACAAATATATATGTTATATATATAGATTGGACCGGGGGGACTTAAAGGAAGGGTGTGTGTGCGCAGGTGTGTATGTTTGTGGGTTTTTGTCTGTGTGTGTGTATGTGTGAGTGTGTGCATGTGAAAGACATTTGGATTGATACTTAACATTTCGCAGGTAACAGCTGTTGGTTGTGGTCTTGTTTATTGGTGGTGACAGGATCGGGCACAGGAACACCTGGTTAGCTGGTTACCAGTGATTGGATACTAGAATACAGGACACTGATGCGGGGGACTTGGAGTAATGAATGATTAGGAGTTGCGTTTTTCGGATGGGGTTTGTATATTATACGTATTAGTAATTGTTGTTCCTCTATTGTTTGTAAACAAGGGGATACTTATATTAAGTGAAAAAAATGACTCTTCATCTAATGTGCTTGCTCTCACGGTGTTTATGTTAACTTATTTAAAAGTATGTAGGAGGATGTGTTACGATCGCAGCTTCTCCACCCAATCTAAACACAAACTTGAATTTTGGCACACAAAAATTGGGAAAATTAATTGAATTCTGTTTTTGTGTGGCAAAACTAACGCAATTATATCGACAGACTTTCGCTCTAAAATACATTTTTATATATTTCGCGGCATGTTAGAGATATACAAAGATAATGAGATAGAGAGAGATACAAAATGTGTGTGTATGTGTATGTGGTGGATGTGTTTGTGTGTGTATGTAATGATTGATGCTGATTGAATGCTATTTAATGCCATAGTGATGGATTCTTGGATAGATTATTATTATTATTAATTGACTGATTTATCAAATGCTTCATTGACCGGCTACCTGACATTTGAACAAATATATAGCGCATACTCGATTATTATTAGCATGCAACTTAGTTGTGGGACAGCTTTCGAGCTGGGTAAATGAAATATATTCGCGTTTTATGTGTAGGTTTTTATTATTACACTGTTATAATCAAAGAACTCCGGTACTGCAATTGCTTTCTTACATTCATATATCGAATTTGAACATATATATTTATATACCATATATGTGTGTTATTAATGTGGATGTGTGAATGTACTTATTTGCTTTCGGCATTGCTCTTACTTAAAACTATAAACTAACGAACACAGGTGCACTCATAAAGTATCCGGTTAACATTTTCCATGTATATATCTACAATTGTTTTTTATCATCTCTTACAAAATATCAAAAAAAAAGTATATATGTATTTAAAAAAACCAGGATTAGCCTAGATGTTAACAAATGTATATGATAAACTTTTAAGTAGTAATTACTATGTTGTATATTTTCTTATTTACTGTATGTCTATAAAATATCATATGAATGTGCGTATCCATATATATATATATATATATATATATATATATATATATGTGGGAGCGTGTGTGTGTGCTTACATATATAAATGGTATGCACTTCTCCTGGTTCCTTAGCTTAAGCCTAACATACATAATTAAATTATCATTTATGCTGCATTTCATATAAATGCATAACTTCGCAGTTGGTCGGTCGTTCGGTCGGTCGCTTTTTGATGTTCAACTTATTCTCATTCTTGTTTATGTATATATATGTATTAAACAAAAAAAAACTTTAGCTTGGCCTTAATCTGTGTATAAAAAGCTATAAAGGCTACGATTTGCACAATTGATTCCATTTGTGCCTAGGCTTACCTAAGTCTATGTATTTATTTAGCTGTATTTTGTTTAAATTGTATTTTATTAAAGCCATTTGAAGAATTCACTACCGGCACCTTTGTAATTTCATTTCTATTTTTTTTACTCTTCTATGTTTAGATTAATAATATGAAACTTGAGACAAAAAAAAAAAAACACTTTTGAAAAATTGATGAGAAGAGCGAAGCTCGGCCCCACGTGCTACTTATATGTGTGTGTGCGTGTATAATATGTATGTGTGTAAAAGGAGACGAATGCACATATACTTATGTGGAGTATATCTATCTATATATAGAACGATAACTGGAGCATAGCTTAGAGCACCTCCCGCTTACCAGCACAAATTCTGTTTCTATATCTAGATCTGTTTCTGATTCTGATTAAGTTTTTATTGATTTGCTTAAACTACAAAAGGCAACTAAGTGTTACTAGCCTAGAATGTAATTATTTTGCTCTGCATATAAACGTGTATTTTGGTTATTCAGAGTTGCATGAATCTTAATGAAATGCATTCCATTTTCAAACACTAACATTGCATGTCTACAGTTAACAGCTAGACTAGGCTCTGGGCTCTCTGGAGACTCAACCCAAATCTACTATATGTATAGGTTTGCAGGAAACCATGAATATCCCAGATATGTATGTGCCTTTTGTTGTACAAACATACATACGTGCAGAAGCGCCGTTGTGTGTGTGTGTGTGTGTGTGTGTGTGTGTGTGTGTGTGTGTGTGTGTGTGTGTGTGTGTGTGTGTGTGTGTGTGTGTGTGTGTGTGTGTGTGTGTGTGTGTGTGTGTGTGTGTGTGTGTGTGTGTGTGTGTGTGTGTGTGTGTGTGTGTGTGTGTGTGTGTGTGTGTGTGTGTGTGTGTGTGTGTGTGTGTGTGTGTGTGTGTGTGTGTGTGTGTGTGTGTGTGTGTGTGTGTGTGTGTGTGTGTGTGTGTGTGTGTGTGTGTGTGTGTGTGTGTGTGTGTGTGTGTGTGTGTGTGTGTGTATGCAAGTATAAATGTTGCTTTAATTTGATTAAGATTACAGTCATTTGCAAATGTGTATCGCGCATTTTCATATAATAGACAAACTTAACAAAGGTTTCATCTAATCTGTAGTTACTATGCGAATAGCCCTTAGCCAGGAGTGATTGCAGTTGCAGTTTTCAGTTGCAGTTGCGGTTGCTGTTGCGCAGTTGCAGTTGCCTTTTGTTACACACCCCACATTTTAGCAGCTGCTTCAAAAGTTCACATTGCCCTGGTGATAGTCAAAGTACATGAAACCCTATGAGGAGGAGTGATGGTTTAGCTGCTGATGGTAATATGTGCTGGCGGCTTGTTGCCCGGTCGGCTCCTGCTTCGGCTGTTTCAGATTGCGATGGTATATACTCTTGTGGTTGCGCAAACTGTTCAGGGAGCTGTAGACCCGCTTGCAGATATTACACACCGGCTCCTTGGTGGGCCGCATGTGCACGTTCTGTATGTGCCGCTTGAGCCGGGTGAGGGAGCTCAGATTCTTGTTGCACGGATTGCAGCGAAAATCATCGCCGCCGCTGGAGGCGTTCAGGCTGCCGCCGGATGTGTTCAGTTGCGAGTTGCTCAGCGAGCTGTTGGCGCTGTTGCCGCTGGTCGAGGCCGAAGCGTTGGCCGTGGCTGCCATATTGGCCATCACCGCGGCGAACATTTGCTGCTGCGCT